GTAGGATTTGCTGTGTTTCTCTGTTACATATATTCAGCGGCAACTCAGGCTTTATTACTGGATAATGCAACAGCAGGCTCAGGAATAAAATCTCAGTGAATTCCCAAATTAACAACTGATAGAAAGAATCCTACCCCCGGGAGCATTATCCTTATACGCCTTTTTTGTTCATATATATTACCCTGGCAGGTTTATAGCTGACCTTGTGTTTGTTTACATGCAAATTAATACCACTTAGTTCAATGAGACTTCCATCCAAGTAATTATGCAAGGAATAACTAAGTTTGTAGACACCTTGAGAATTAACAGAATAAGCATTCATGGACTAGAGCCAACTTCATCTGATCGTTTGTAATGCACAAAGGCTTGTGCCACAAAATACATGCTAATCTCCAAAGTACCACAAGGCTATGGTGACTAACACAACTACCCACTCTGGAATTAATGTAAAGGAGTACAGAAAGCCCTAATGAACTCTGGAACTCACTAAAAAGGAAGCATACCTGGGATTGAGCTGTCAGTTTGTCTAGTAAAGAGCATTCCCACGTCTGGTATGTTTACCTAGGTGCCTTACACCAGGAAATATATTTTCCAAAGTAAAAAAAGACTGTCTAAAAACTGTTTTTAGCCAAGTTGGCAAATACAGTCCCAACAGATTGCATATTTAAAGGCAAAGTAATTACTGTTGCTTTTGAAAGCAATTTCCCAGCTTGATTTTCATTGAAGTCAAAACTAGCAGCCCTAGTAGTACAGCAGAAAAAGGATGCAGCAATCCAGCATGAATATTTTATTATATTCCTAACACTCAGGGTGACCCCTCCCCATTTTATATTCACAGCGATACTGTATGCTGGGGTTAACCTGGGAGACTGTGACTAGCCCAAGGTTACACAATGAGTTTCATGGCCAAGTGGGAATTTGAAATCAGTCCCTCTCCACCCAAATATCACTACATCATACATTATATATAAGCATACTCATTTTATACAGTTTACAATATACTAACTAAAAGATAACTAGTACATATTAATGGTAAAAGTTTCTGGCCATACACATATATTTATGAAAAATTGCTATGTTCATCCTGTATATTTAAAAAATGTGACATCTTAATACTGGGGTCCCAATGACTGGATCTCCAGCCTTTGGCAGCCTGACATCATTCATCAGCAAATTAACAAGCATACACAATCTTTAACCCTCTATACCCTACCAAATTCCTGTTTTTCTCAGCAGTAATATACTAGCTAACTGGTCCTCTGTAAAATACAGCCACAACAGCCACAAACTCTCTGTAATCCAAAGGTATTTACAGTGGTACCTCGCAAGACGAATGCCTCGCAAGACAAAAAACTCGCTAGACGAAAGGGTTTTTTGTTTTTTGAGCTGCTTCGCAAGACGATTTTCCCTATGGGCTTGCTTCGCAAGACGGAAACATCTTGCAAGTTTGTGTCCTTGTTCTTAACACCGTTAATACAGTTGCGACTTGACTTCGAGGAGCAACTCATAGAACGCGGTGTGGTAGCCTTTTTTGAGGTTTTTAAAGACTTTGGTATTTTTGAAGCTTTTCCAAAACTTTCCCGACACCGTGCTTCGCAAGACGAAAAAAATCGCAAGACGACAAAACTCGCGGAACGAATTCATTTCGTCTTGCGAGGCACCACTGTATACTGAAATTCTGAGTAATCTAAAGAGCTAGCCAACATCAATTTTTTTCTTAGATAAAATAATTCACCTTACAATCAGAGTTCAAATGCTCCGATTTCTTATTCCCACTTGAACCCACACATAGATCCAATATAAATTATGTAACATATAGAAGATACAGTATAGCCAAATTCAAATGAGCCTTCATTTAATAACTTCAGCAAGCATGCAGGCCTTCTGTTAACTAAAGTTGTCCATTTCATCTGAACTGAACCAGGAACAATGGTTAAGGGCTTCAGAACAAGTCATTATATTATACCAGACTTGAAGTTAGCTTTTTCTCCTGGCTTGTTCTGAAGCAATTAACGAGTTTCTTGGTTTATCCTGGATTTTTCTGAAGCCATTAGACCGTTTCTTGGTTCTGATGAAATTAACTAAAGACTTTACGGCTTTGCAAGCATGATGTGGGGTATGAAACAGGTGTGTGTGTCCTCATTCATATTGGGGCTTATGATTATTTATTGTATTTGTTGATTTTTACACAAAAGTGACCCAAGAAGATTTGCAAAATAGTATAAACATGAAAACCATAATTAATCCATGATAGGATCTATTCTGCCTCGGTCAGATCACACCAGGAGTACTGTTCTGGGCACCACAATTCAAGAAGGGATGTTGACAAGCTGGAATGTGTGTAGAGGAGGGCGACCAAGATGATCAAGGGTCTGGAGACAAAGTCTTATAAGGAATGGTTGAGAGAGTTAAGTATGCTTAACCTGGATAAGAGGTGATATGATAGCCATCTTTAACTATCTAAAGGGCTGTGTCATGGAAGATGGAGCAAGCTTGCTTTCTCCTGCTAAGGAAGGTAGGACCCGAATGGACCAATGGATTCAAGTTACAATAAAGGAGATTCCGACTACACATCAGGAAGAACTTTCTGATGGTAAGAGTTGTTCAGAAGGTGGTGGACTCTCCTTCCTTGAAGGTTTTTAAGCATAGGTTGGATGGCCATTTGTAAAGGATTCTTCAGCTGTGATTCCTGCAATGCAGGGGGTTGGACTAGATGACCCTCAGGACCCCTTCTATGATTCTGATTCTATTATTATTAATCCAAGATACGATCATCCGAATGCAGTCAATATACCTAGTTTTGATTGTAAGGTAAGCATATTAAATCCATATTTGATAATCAAGTAAGCATCTTTAGAAACGTTTTTTCTACAATACACGAGGAAGTCTGTAGAAATTCTCATAAATATGGAAGTATAGCATAACATTTGGAGAAAAGAATAATTTGTGGCAAAATCCTGCTAATTTTTGTACTCTCAGTCAGGTTATTGATTATGGGCAACACAGCAGAACTAGACTAAACTTTATGCATTAAAAAGTTAACTTAAACAATCATTTTTCCTTTGAAAATCAGAGAGCCATATAAATCAACTATCCTTCCTCAAAGGAATATACTTGCACATGGGTTTTTTGTTGTTTTTATCAAATGCCTTTCTAGGTCTCCCCTCCAATCCAGTTCAACTTCCCAAAATGTTCATCAAAGCAAGCAAATGCAGAGGAATTGTAAAAAATTGAGACAGGATTCCTTTTTACACACAAATACAAGAAGCATTCTTCTACTTCCACTGCAGCAAAAAGAATAGTTGTGAGATGTCTGTGAACAAGTATTTCTTCTAAACAGTATGTGAAACAGCTTCAGCAAATCAGCTGTAGAGTATCTGAAGCTTCTGCTCACCACAATACAGGAAGTGGGAGATGAGGGAAGAGACAAAAAAGAAATAAAATACTGAATAAACTGACCAATATATCCTATTTTTATTTTATTTTCAGATACAAAAATATAAAAATATATTCCAGTCTGGTCTCTGAAATGGAAATTAACATTTCCTGAAATCTGGGGAGCCTTTTCATTTTGCCCAAAATGAACTCATACTAGTTCATATGGCTGAAAATACTTTTAAGATATGCAGACTTCACAGATGCAATAAAAAAAACTGTTCTTTGCAGGAGACCTGAACATTTCATACCTTTTGCATAAAGGGATATTAATTGCATATTATTTCTGAGTATGCATGGTCATGATCAAGCTGTAAATTTCACTTGCTTTATTCATCAGAACTTATGTCCGAAAACAGGTGTGCTCAGGAGTCACTCAACTTTTCCAAACTGATTGCGGGCTAAATATTATCTCACACACAATTACAAGGAAGCAAACTCCATTAAACTTGGTGGATCAGACCACACAGTTGCTATCTAAAATGTGTTATTTGCCAACGGTGCAATCCTATACAGTACATGTCTACACAGAAGTAAGCTCCATTAAGTTCAATAGGCCTCTCTCAGGTAATTGTGTACAGGATTGCATTATTAATTACAGCTTCCAGCCTGATCTTAACTATGTTGACTGCTGTAAGTTCCACTCATTTCAACGTGGCTTACTCCCAAGTAACTATTTAGCTAGGATCGGAGACCTTGCTAAGGGAAAATCAACACTCCCAAACCAAGAATATCCAGTCCGCGATTCTAAACATGATTCACTGTAAGGAAGTCCCACCACTATCAATCAATAGCACCAGCAGACAGACATAGGAATGGGCTGTTTGTTTACAATGGCCACACATTTCTTGGAAATGATGGAAACAATTTTCCGAAGTTCTAATTCCCCCCAAATCACAAAATCTAATAAAGACTAGTATGCTGTTCTTTTTTTAAAGAAAGACTTAAAAGCAATCCTCCATGAAACTGAAGGAAAGAGAACTGTCTTCCGTGTGTTGTGTGTACTGGCAAGCTCTCCCCTTTGCAAATTCCTCCATGTTCCAGGATTTGGGCAAGGAAGGAAGGAAGGAAGGAAGGAGCGAGCGAGCTGCGCCCCTTCCCGGGGCCTCGTCTCCAGGCCAGCCAGGCCTTGCCCTCCCCCAGAGATGCGCACCGTACACACAATCGCACGACACGCGGGTGCGCGGGGACCTTCCTTGCCCGAAGCTCCGGGGCCACTTGGGGGCCTCCGCCTCACCTCTCGCCAGGGAGCACAAGCCGCAGACCAGGAGGCTCCTCAGGACGGCGCCCATCTTCTCTCCTCGGGCTCTCACCGGCGGCAGCGGGGAGGCGGCGGTGGCGGCGGCGGAGGAGAGCGGGGGCAGCGGGGGCAGCAGCGCCTCGGCCGCCCTCTCATACTTTCGGGGCGCGAGGGGAGGCCGGCGGGAAGCGAGGGAGCCGCGCCAAAGAACCGCCGCCCCGAGCCCGGTCCTCTTTGTGTCTCTTAAAGGGCTGCTCGGCCCTCGGCGCTCGGCCCCGGCGAGGAGGAAGAAGGCCAGCGCGGCCGGGAGAAGCCCTCGTCCTCCATGCCCGCCGCGAAGCCACCGGGCTGCTCCTCCTCCTCCTCCTCCTCCTCCTCGGGGAGCCGAGAGAAAGGAAAGGCGCAGCAGCACAGCCCCTTCTCGGCCGCCGCCTCCCGGATCCCCGGCGCAAAGCCAGAGAAGATCCCTCCTCCTCCTCCTCCTCCTCCACCTTCGGCAACTGCGGAGCGCCTCACATCTGGGCCCGCGAAGAGCCCCCCTTTTCCGGGAAGAGACGCCCCGAAGGCCGCCCCGCGAAGCTCCCCCGGGAAAGGGGGCGACGCGGCAGCCGCATTCCTGAGGGACTCCTTCGCCGCCGCCGCCGCCGCCTCGCTCGCTCTCGCCGCGAATCAGGGACTCAGGGCCTGCGCTGCAGGATCTCACGCTCTGGACCGGGGGAATGTCGGAACTACTTTCGGGGACCCGGGCTGCGCGGCGAGAGCGGCACAAAGAGCGGCGGCGGCGGAGGACGAGGACGAGGAGGAGGCGGCGGCTTCCCCCCCCCCTCTCTCTCTCTCTTAAGCGGCTGCGCTTCTATTTCCTCGGTGCACGTTCTGGGCGATTCGCTTGCGCGCCAGCTACGGGGAGGCTCCGACCTGGCCAGCCACGCAGGCGGCTTACATAACTGGGCGGAAAAGGGACGCGCCGAGGGGGGCCCAACACGGGGGGGGGTCGTGTGTGCATGACGTCACACACGCCGCCCCCCCGCCGGGCAAGGCCTCCGGGACGGGCGGCCCGAGCCCCTGCAGCCCCCCCCCCGGCCCCCTCAGCCTCGGAGGGCGCAGCCCCGTTTGGAAATGCGGAGGGGGCTGGAGCCCCTTCTGGCGCCCCTGCCGCTCACCTGGCAGGGTCGCTCTCAAGGAGATCCCTACAAATTCACGTGCATTTCGGAAGTACTGCGCAGGTAACCCTAACGGGAGAAACTCAAGCAAGGCTGCTCCGCTCTCAGGCTTAAACCACGACCAGCACCTCCCTCCTTCAGACATTAAGACAATAATATTGGCTTATCTTTAAGAGGATCCGTGTAAGGATTACTGCATCTATGCATATGAATCTTTAACAGTACTGAAAATGCTATATAAATGGTAAACATGCAATCTACAGAATTTCCCTGTTCTGTACAGCTGTCCTCTTTTGGGTTTTAATGGATGGGATAAGATATATTAATTGCAACTTATCCCTCCGGGTTCCAAGGCGTGGGTTGCACACAGTTTTAAAATCCCATCCTTGGGAGCAAAATTAAAAGCATAGGAATTAGGCTGTAAAACCTTGTTTTGAGCAAGTCTAGCTATGAAATAAGCTAGCTCTCCCTTTCTTACTTCACTTAACAAAGAATCAAGCAACAACTTGATAAATAAATTAAAAAATATATAATTTACTTGCTTATAATCATGCATTGGTTCACAGCAGCAGCAGTAAAAACGATGCAGGCAAAATACTTATACTTTACAGTATATCACACTATAACCAGCTTCAGGCATGTGTTTAAAGCTGGAGCAAGTAGAGGCATGTCTGCATCCAATGCTGGTCAAAGTAAAAGAGAGGAGAGGAATACGGTGGTACCTCGGGTTAAGAACGGTCTGGTTTAAGAATGATTTGGTTTACAAACTCCGCAAAACTGGAAATAGTGTCTTGCTTTGAGTATTATGGCAACTCTGTGGGCCTTACCTGAGCCAAGTGCAACCCATTGTTGACTGAAGCGGGGATCGCTAAGGAGTTTGCTTCCTTTGGGTGGGTTGTGTACTTCTTGTAGGAAGGCAATGTGTGGTTTCATGGTGTTTACATATGAGGTGATGCATTTTCTTTGATAGGGTTTCCCAACCCCCACATTTAATGTAATTGCTTTTAAGCTAGCCATCTTTGCTTATCTACTTTATAGGATGATTCCCTGCCAACTCGTCTGGGTTGCCCTGTGGACAAACGTCGGCTCCCTCAGCCAGTAAAGCGAGATGAGTGCCGCAATCCCAGAGTCATCCGTGACTGGACTTAACTGTCAGGAGTCCTTGACCTTGACCTTTAAAGGACCACCACGGGGGGCATTACTATTGAAAGTGGGTGGGGAGGTTTATGTAGGTAGGTATGTGATTTATTATTATTATTATTATTTGTTTGGGGGGAGAAAAGAAAAGAGAGGAGAGGGGGGATAGAGAGGGGAATTATTATTATTAATATTATTATTATTATTATTTATACCCCACCCTCCCCAGCCAAGGCTGGGCTCAGGGCAGCTAACAAGCAATAATAAAAAGAAGTTGAATGAATACAACTTAAAAACAAGATTAAAATACAACAAATACAAAAGAATACAAATATTAAAATGCAGCCTCATCACAGGAGGAGAAAGGAAAAAGAAAGGGGGAGGGAATCAAATTGGCTCCAAGCCAAAGGCCAGGCGGAACAACTCTGTCTTACAGGCTGCGGCAAGAAATCAGATCCTCCAGGGCCCTGGTCTCATGAGGCAGAGTGTTCCACCAGGCCAGAGCCAGTGTTGAAAAGGCCCTGGCTCTGGTTGAAGCTAATCTAACTTCCTTAGGACCTGGGACCACTAGGGTGTTGCTATTTATGGACCTTGAGACTCTCTGTGGGGCATACCGGGAGAGGCGGTCCCGTAGGTACGAGGGTCCTAGGCCGTGAAGGGCTTGAAAGGTCAAAAGCAGCACCTTAAATCTGACCCTGTACTCCACCGGGAGCCAGTGCAGCTTGAAAAGCACTGGGTGAATATGCTCCCATGGCAGAGACCCCGCGAGGATCCTCGCTGCAGCATTCTGCACCCGCTGGAGCTTCTGGGACAGCTTTAAGGGCAGCCCCGCGTAGAGCGAATTACAGTAGTCAAGCCTGGAGATGACCATCACATGGATCACTGTGGCCAGGTCGGGGCGGGAAAGGTAAGGGACCAACTGCTTGATGCAGCGAAGGTGGAAAATGTCGCCTTGGCTGTTGCTGTAACCTGCGCATCCATGGAAAGGGAGGCATCAAGGATTACACCCAAACTCTTAACGGAAGGCAATGGCACTAATTGGGCCCCCACAAGAGAAGGGAGTTGGTTCCTCATCCCCATGCCATCCCGACCTAGCCATAGGACCTCTGTCTTCAAAGGCTTTAGTTTCAATCAGCTCCCACGAAACCATCCAGCCACAGCTTCCAAGCATCTGATCAGTGTGTCTGGGGCCGAGTCGGTGTGGCCATCCATCAGCAGATAGAGCTGAGTGTCATCAGCAACCCAGCCCAAAGCTCCGGATAATCTGGGCAAGGGGGCGCATAAAGATGTTAAAAAGCATCAGGGAGAGGATTGCGCTCTGCGGCACTCCACACACCAAGGTGTGGCGTGACGACATCTCCTTCCCTAGTGCCACCCTCTGTCCCCGACCAGAGATAAAAGAGCACAGCCATTTACGGGCTATGCCCTGTATCCACACGTCGGCGAGGCGGTGGTCCAGAAGATCATGATTGACCATGTCAAAGGCTGCTGACAAATCTAAAAGGATCAGTAGTCCTGACCCGCCTTGATCCAGTTGTCTACGGAGATCATCTGTTAGGGCAACCAGAGCCGTGCCGGTCCCAAATCCAGGATGGAACCCGGACTGAAATGGATCTAAAGCCGATGTTTCTTCCAGAAACCTACTAAGCTGTTCAGCTACCGCTCTCTCAATTACCTTACCCAGGTATGGAAGATTGGAAACTGGGCGGTAATTTAAGAGAAGAAAGAGGGAGAGAACCAAAAAACAAAAGGCAACACCCCCCCCCCCCAAAGGAAGAAACTAAAGATGTGGTGGTGGTGGTTTCTGAAAGAAGTATATTTATTTCAAATGATAAAAGTAAGAAATAAAAAATATATTTAAATGAAGGGAAGCTCTGCTTCTGCACATGACCGCGGCATGATGGGAAGCTTTGCTTCTGCACATGACTGTGGCATGATGGGAAGTCTTGCTTCTAAGCTTTTCTCCTGCTCATGCTGCACAAACTGTGCTGATGCTAAGACATTCCCTCATCACCCTGGTACGTTCTGTTCACCTTGAGTTCACACCATATCAGTCTGTACTTATCCCTCTGTGTACATTCCTTTCGTACCACCCTGGAACAGGCAGTCCATTAGTAGCACCACATCGATCATGATAAGAAGGAAACCATACCTGTCTAAACTCCGCGTTCCTTTTCCCAACCTTTAACCTATCGATGATTAATGCCTTATATGCAGTGATTAATGTCTTATATGCAACCCTTGCTTTGTACTTATGTTAACCAATCAGCAACAAGCACGTACGTGGCAAACGCTGTAATATTCAATAAAAGGGACTCTCCAGGGCTTGCTCAGGAGATGCCTCCCGTATGACACCTACCTACTCGTCTGTCGTTCATTTCAACCCAACATCTGGTGACCCTGACGTGATTGCCAGATCCCTTTACGCAGCCTCATACTTCACTCGACTGGAAAAGTCTCAGCGCGCTACTCCGTGAGTATGGGGGGGAGCTTACAAAGTTCCAAAAAGAGCATGCTAAAGAACTGTTTCATTTAGTCAGACAGAGAGTAGCAGGTGCGCATATTTCCTTGAAAGAAATTGAACGATTGTTATGTCATATTGCTTGTGAGTGCCCCTGGTACCCGGAAACAGAGTCTTTGGGGATGGAGACTTGGCAAAAAATCGGAAAAACCCTCTTCGCAGAACCGAGGGCTCCGATTCATTGTCTGCTCACTTGGCAGAAGTGTGCGGATGCCGTCGCTAGATTAGGTCCCCAGGCGTCTCCGTCGGCACCTGCAGCAGACAATTCCCCACCACCTGCCCTTTTGGCCGCAACAGACAATCCACCTCCGTACCCAAAGCTTTTGCCTCCATCGCAACTTTCCCTACCCCCCCTTCACCTCAGCCCACATCCACCCCCCATCCCCCCTTCCCTCCCTCCTTCGCCTGCCTCAACCCCTGCGTGCTCTCCTACAGGAGCTGTGCGTGCTGCACTTTTTCAAGCTAGACAGAAAGGCATTCTTTCCTTGGACGAGGAGGCGGGGTGGGCCGGGGAACTGCCGTCTGCCTTCCCTATTTCTTATACTAACCCTGGCACTGCGCAACAACAAATTATGTATGAGGCGCTTCCTTATTCTATTCTGAGAGAATTAAGGAAAGCCATTACTGATTCTGGCCTAAAATCCTCTTATGTGCTAGGGATGCTGGAGGGAATAGCAACTGGTTATACAATGCTACCTCAAGATTGGAAAGATCTGATGCGCATGCTTTTATCCCCAGCTCAGTATGTAGTTTTTGAAAGTGAATTTAAGCATAGCGCAGTAGCCCTGGCTGATCCACAGCATTCAGCCAACCAACTCTTTGGTGCTGGTCCGTATGATAATATACCAGCCCAGGCGCAATTAACACCTTTACATTTTAGTCGCACCGCGACCTGTGTGCAACGCGCCTTTCGCAAAGTCCCTGTCTCAGGGCAACCACTTAGCTCCTTTGTTAATATTAAGCAACAACATTCGGAGCCCTACCATCAATTTATAGATAGATTGAAAGAATCAGTCACTAGGCAGATTGATGACACTACAGCTCAAAATGAATTGATGAAAAAACTGGCTTTTGAAAATGCAAGTACTGACTGCAAGAAGGCTTCGCAGTCGATCATACATCACCCTAAATATGACCTGGCCGATATGATTCAAGCCTGTGCAGATGTTGGCAGCCAGAGTCATGCGATGTCCTTGCTTGCCGGTGCCATCCAGGCTGGCAATAAGCCCATGGGCAACTGCTTCAATTGCAAACGCCCAGGTCATTTTGCTAAACAATGCAGAGCCCCTGGCAGGGGTGCAAACAGGAATGGTGATGCCAATAAGGCTAAGCCTTCCAAGAAATGCCCGAAGTGCGGTAAAGGCTATCATTGGGCAAATCAGTGCAGGAGTTCGGGAAACTCCTTTAAAAAAAATATATATATATATTTATTAAACCTTTCAGGAAAGGTTACAAAAATATGAAAAAGGAAAAAAAAGAAAAAAGAAAATACAAAATACAGAAAAATAAAAACAATTAAATACAAATCAATCTTTCCATGTCTTGTCTTTCATTTACTTGTTTCCCTGACCTCCTCACACCTCCCTTTTTTGTATTCCGGTTCAGTTAGTTAATTCAGCAAATCCTTTCCCTCTTTGCTTTTATCTTAATCCTTTATCTTAATATATTATAACTTTAGATTCTCACCTGTTAACAATCCATTTTTACATACTCCTTTGTAACATTGCTGCTAAAACCACTTAACTTCATTCCGACATCATTCTAACATTCATTAATTTTGCAATATTTCTGTAAATAGTCTTTAAATTTCTTCCAATCTTCTTCCACCGACTCTTCTCCCTGGTCTCGGATTCTGCCAGTCATTTCTGCCAGTTCCATATAGTCCATCACCTTCATCTGCCATTCTTCCAAGGTGGGTAGATCTTGTGTCTTCCAATGCTTTGCAATAAGTATTCTTGCTGCTGTTGTAGCATACATAAAGAAAGTTCTATCCTTCTTTGGCACCAATTGGCCAACCATGCCCAGGAGAAAGGCCTCTGGTTTCTTCCGAAAAGTATATTTAAATATCTTTTTCATTTCATTATAGATCATCTCCCAGAAAGCCTTAATCCTTGGGCACGTCCACCAAAGGTGAAAGAATGTACCTTCAGTTTCTTTACATTTCCAACATTTATTATCGGGCAAATGATAGATTTTTGCAAGCTTGACTGGTGTCATGTACCACCTGTATATCATTTTCATAATATTCTCTCTTAAGGCATTACATGCCGTGAACTTCTTACATGTGGTCCATAACCGTTCCCAGTCAGCCATCATAATGTTATGTCCAACATCTTGTGCCCATTTAATCATAGCAGATTTCACCGTTTCATCCTGAGTATTCCATTTCAACAGCAAGTTATACATCTTTGACAGAGTCTTAGTTTTGGGATCTAACAGTTCTGTTTCCAATTTTGATTTTTCCACCTGGAAACCAATTTTCTTGTCCAAATTGTATGCCTCCATTATTTGATAATAATGAAGCCAATCTCGCACTTTGTTTTTTAGTTTTTCAAAGCTCTGCAATTTCAATTTGTCTCCCTCTTGTTCCAGAATTTCCCAATATTTCGGCCATTTGGCCTCCATATTGAGCTTTTTCTGAGCCTTCGCTTCCATCGGTGACAACCACCTATTTTCAAGTAGATCCTTATATCTTGTCCAGACATTAAACAATGCTTTCCTGACAATGTGGTTTTTAAATGCTTTATGTGCTTTAACCTTATCATACCACAAATATGCATGCCACCCAAATACATTGTTGAAACCTTCTAGATCCAAAATGTCTGTGTTTTCAAGAAGCAGCCATTCTCTCAGCCGGAGTTCGGGAAACTCCTTAGGGGCCCCACTCTCGGGCCAGGACAAATAGGGAGCCCTCCACCGTTAGTCTCCACTATTAAAACCTTCTCAAAGGATACACGCTCTGATTTTACCTCGACTTAATTAATCAAGAAACCAAAGACACTGTTTTACCTGGCGAAATTGTGCTTATGCCCACCCAATTGGCGGGCCCACTACCTCCTAAAGTCGCAGGTTTAATTTTACCCAAATTTTCTGCGGCCAAAGAAGGAATCCAGGTTATTCCAGGAGTTCTGGATCCTGACTATGTGGGCACAATAATGGTTCAACTTTGGAGCCATATGCCCATGCAGTTAAAGAAGGGTGAGTCCTGGGCGCATTTGGTGGTGCTCCCTTCTCACCATACTGCTTCTATTATGGATAGTAATTTGCACGAGCTCTCTCCTTTTCCCCCACAGCTGTTAGCTGTAATCCAGCGGATTGGTCATCAGAAACTTCTTCGTAAGTACAAAATAAATGGCAAGGTTCTGGAAGGCTTGATTGACACAGGCGCGGACATTTCTGTAATTTCCAGTAGTTGCTGGGACCCCACGTGGCCCCTTGAGTCTGCCTCTGCGGTTTGGGGTGTAGGTGGACCTCAAACCTCTCCGGGGCTTGCTCAGGAGATGCCTCCCGTATGACACCTACCTACTCGTCTGTCGTTCATTTCAACCCAGCATTTAAAAACCCCTTTGAGAGAGGAAAAGATAATATAATTTTTGTGTGTGTGTGTATTCTCTTTAAAGAGAAAAAGGAAGTGGGGAGGGAAAAGAGAGAGAGGAAGGGAAAATAACTAGCCATAACAAAAATGTGGAATAAAAAGCTTTTTGGTTTGTTTTTTAAGAAAAGATTATGTTAGTTGTCAGGGATCTGCTTGCAGGGGAGGGGGGAGAGACAGAAACGTACAGAGAGCCTCCTCCTCTGTTGAGCAGCTGCAGTTCGTCAGAGTCTAAGAAGGGGAAGCTTTCAGGAGACACGGAAGACGAGAGAAAGGGGAGCCAAAACACTGCTACCAGGGAAGGGGATGTGCAGCTTCTGTCTCACAGCTTTCCACGTAAGGAAAAGAGGCGGAGAGGGGGTTTTCCCAGGTTTCCATGCTGGAGGGGAAATAGGAAGAAGGCACTTCCGGAATCTGCTAGCGATTAAGGCAGACATGGTTTTGAAGCTTCTGCACTGTACATAAGTTTTGCACTCAATAAAATCTGAAAAGACAGGCTGGAGTCCTGGCTGTTATCCTCGTGAGCAACCACTCTCCCACCTTACAGCATTTCGGAAGTCTTTGAAGGTTGCTTGCGAGGGAGAAAGACAGCTCCGTGATGGATGAGTAGGCGAGATGCCAGGTCGCAGCTCTAAGAAAGAAAAATGAAGAGCTGGAAGGGCACGTTCAGGAGCTGAGAATCTGGCTAGAGGAACGCAGGACTCAGGAACAGTAGGACAGAACCATTCCGGTGGGGAGAAAGGTACCGTCCCTGATTAGCAGGTTTAGTGGCAACCCCCAGGAGTATTTGGCCTTTAAGACTGAGATTAAGTATGCCCTGGATTTGCAGAGAAGAGAATTTGCCAGCGATGCAGCAAGAGAATAACTAAGACAGAGAATAACTAACACAGCCCAGAATAACTAAGGAGATAGTACAAGAATACTTGGCTAGTTTAGATGTATTCAAGTCTCAAGGGCCAGATGAACTGCATCCAAGAGTATTAAAAGAACTGGCAGATGTGATCTCAGAACCACTGGCATTCATCTTTGAGAATTCCTGGAGAACAGGCGAAGTCCCGGCAGACTGGAGGAGGGCAAATGTTGTCCCTATTTTCAAAAGGGGAAAAGAGAGGACCCAAATAATTACCGCCCAGTCAGTCTGACATCAATACCAGGGAAGATTCTGGAGCAGATCATTAAGCAAACAGTCTGTGAGCACCTAGAAAGGAATGCTGTGATCACCAATAGTCAGCATGGATTTCTG